CGGCATAAAACCAGGGACTCAGCTTCCCTCCTCTTCTCCACCAACATTGAAGCATGTGATCACGTTTTCTGTTTAGGAGCTCAAGCCATGTGGTCCTGTCCACCATTAAAACCATCTTTCCAAGCAGCCTCCATGTCTCCAGTGTCTTTTCCCCCACTTGGAGCCGAACCCAGAAGGACATTTCTTCCAACAACAGGAAGGATAATTTATGGCAGGGGTCTCCAACCTTGGCAACTTTAAGACTTGTGTGGACTTTGACTCCCAGAGTTCGCAGCTAGCTGAGGAACTCTGGGAATTGAAATCCACAAGTCTTAAAAGTTGCCAAGTTTGGAGACCCCTGATTTATGGGATAATGTCTGCATCAAGTCTATCGAATTCTATTAGAAGACGTAGATTTGAACAAAGAATCACTCGAACAAGAGCCATGGGGTAATGGTTAAAACATCAGGCTAGAAACCGGGAGTTCTAGTCCAGAGGCGGGTTGCTGTTGGTTCGGCTCAGATCGGCCAAACATGTAGTAGTGGCGGTGGGAGGCTCCTCCCACCCACCCAGACGCTTCTGTGCATGTGCAGAAGTGTCGCACGCATGCGGGAGCAAGCACGGGAGTGCACCCGAGCTGGTAGTAAAAGAATTAGCAACCCACCTCTGTTCTAGTCCCAATTTAGACACAAAGCTAGCTGAGTAACCTTGAGCCAGTCACTTTCTCACAGCCCTTGGTAAAGCGGCAATGGCAAACGACTTTTTGAAAAACCTCAACAAGAAAACTGGCAAGTCTCTTGAGAATCCGACACAATTGGACAGAAGAAGAAAAATCATTCATGTTACCTTATTAAATAGAAATATTTTCTTCCCACTGCATTATGTTCAAAACAAGGGCAATTCCACCTTTATCTAATTCATCCCACCGAACTTCCTTAGCTGTACAAAAAGAAACACCAACCGTGGATGTATTTCACTACGTTGACACTAAGGCCATGACGTGATATAGTCATCAGGACTTCCCCTGCGCTCTTCCGCCAAGGCAGGTTGTAGGGAGGGCACCACGAGGTTATTGCACTGAAAAGAAGCTGGAGGTCATCCTTTTGGGCCAGCTCTTCTGCTGGGGACACAAAACTGCACAGCTTCACTAAGATCTGAAAGAAAAAGGCAACAAAACCCACTTGAAAAAGGCTGAACCCCATACAAATAAGAGAAGGAGAGAGTTGGAAGGGACCTCAAAGGTCTTCTATTCTAACCTCCTACTCAAGCAGGAGAGTCTATCCCGGGGGTGTCAAACTCAAGGCCCGGATCCGGCCCGCGGGGTGTTTAGATCTGGCCCATGGGGCTACCTGGAAAGAACAAAGGACCAGCTCGCGGTGCCTCTGCCGGCATGTGGCCCTCCCGAGCTCCGTTTTTGCTGGCAGAGGGTTGCAGGAGGCCGTCACAGCCGAAAACGAAGCTGAGGAGCCCGTTTTCTCTAGCAGAGCATTCAGGCCACTACAGGTGCCCCCAACACAAATGAAGTCAGGCTGGCCATGCCCATTCCAGCGCCCAAGGTCAAACACAACCCTGATGCGGCCCTCAATGAAATCCAGTTTGACATCTCTGTCCTATACCATTTCAGAAAAGTGGCTGTGAAGTCTCTTCTTAAAAATCTCCAGTGATGGAACAACTTCTGAAGACAATCCGTTCCACTGATTGACTGTTCTCACTGTCAGGAAATTTCTCCTTAGTCCTAAGTTGCTTCTCTCCTTGATTAGTTTCTACCCATTGCTTCTTGTCCTGCCCTCAGGTGCTTTGGAGAATAGCTTGACTCCCCTCTTCTTTGTGGCAGCCCATCAAATATTGGAACACTGTTATCATGTCACCCCTAGTCCTTCTTTTCATTAAACCAGACATACTCAATTCCCTTAACAGGCTTTCTTTACTGATTACTATTTATAAGTATTTATTACTATTTAAAGAACATTCCATTCCCAACCCATTCATCTTCTGGTTCCTAATTCACCCAATCATTTAAACGTTTTTTTTTCCAATGTTTTAAAATAGTTATCCTTGCTTTTATGCTGTCTAGGTTAGCCAGATTGAGAGATTTATTAATTTAATAAATAAATAAACAAACTGCGAACGAAATAGGTAACTGTGAACAACTCCTTGGAGGGACTTCAGTTATTAAACAAGTTATTAAGCTGCCTTTGGCTTAACTATATCATAAAACAGCACTCATATGCCACTGAATCCTTAGGGTGGTTTCTATTCTCAGTAACCAGTTTGCTTAAAGGTGTGTGTATGTGTGTGTATACTGTGAAGAACCTTTTGACTCTTAGGCCTCTGAAGTTGAAGAAGACATGTACCACCCTTACGGGTTAAAAGGGGATTTTTACACACACAAACACACTTTAATTGACAGTTTATGTGCCATCAAGTCAATGTCAACTCTTAGCAATCACGCAGATAGATTCTGTCTATGGGTTATCTGACCTAACCTGGTTTTTTCATTTTAACACGCACTGCCTGCCCCCCTGAAAATACGCTAAAAGCCGCCATCCTCCAGCCCAACCTCTCGGCAAAGAAATTTCATTTAAAATGTTATTAGCGCTGCCGTGCACTTACCTGCACAAATACTTTCTGCAACAGCGCCCTTCGCTCCGCTAGAGGCAATTCGTTCTGGGCTCCGCTGGCCACCTCAGGCACATGTGGAAGGTCAAAAAACAGATAGAGACATTTCACGAGTGTGGAAGGCACTGACATAGTTGTCATGCAGTCCACGGTTTTCTGGGGAGAAACAGCAAAGAACACTTTTAAGTCACCCTCGTGTGCGATTTGTTCTTCCTCTGCTCGACTCTATTAGAAATCATTTCACTGTACATTACTGCACTTTGGCATGTTTGCAAACAAAATCATTCTAATTCTGTAGAAAAATAAACATTCACAACCTGTGTGTAGATTAAATAAACTTCAGGCTTAATTTATCTCAACTGTAGGCAGTCCTCCTCTACTTATGACCAGTTGCTTAATGACCAAAGCTATGATGGACCCTTCCTAATGCTACTTACGACACAATGTTTGCACCTCCGTGGTCACCTGATCGTTTCTGGGGCGCTTGGCAACCAGCTCACCTTTATGGTTATTTGCAGTATCCTGCAGTCACATAACAGTGATTTTCAACGTTTTCGGCAACTTGTCCTTTAGGTTCTGACTGTCACAGCACCCATGTGATCACAATCAGAGCACTTGGTAACTGGTTTGCATTTATGGCTAGATGGAGCACTCGCGATCCTGCAATTGTCATTTGCAAATTTCCCTGCTGGCTTCCCCAGAAAATCAAGGGGAAGCCAGCAGGAAACACTGCAAGTTGCTAGGGTAAATCTCACCCACCTGTGCAACCTTCGCCAACTGTTTTGTGCTAGCAATGCTGCATTCTGCAACCTGCACCTTTTCCCCAACCCTCATTGCATGTCTCCTCTTGCACCCCCTTCCTAATCCTCACCACACTTTTCCTGCAATGCCTTTCCCCCCCCCCCCTTCACCCAAAAGCAGCCATATACTTGCCTGCTGGCTTGGGAGTTGCAATTTCCTGCTGGCTTCCCCAATGACATTGATTGTGGGAAGCTGTCAGGAAGTCACCTTGTCTAACAACTGAGAGATTCAGTTAATGATGAACAGAGACAGGACAGAGGGATTGCCATTGCTAGGCGATGCAATTGCACTCCACAACTCCATCACATAGCCATGGAAATTCTGGTTTCAACTGCTATTATAAATCGAGGACTAGTTGTATTACTTAAAAAAAATTAAGTTGTTGTAGTGTATAATTTACCAGTTTTTAGCTATGCATTTGTTGTATAATGGTTTAATTCACAATTACTGTGTAAAAATTACAGTTTTCCAGATACTTCATATAAGGAGGTACAGTTATTTGAATCAACCCAATCCCTAAATTTGCATTTATTCAGATTCAGATTCAGATTTAATTTATTTGTATGC